AGGTGGGGGGGGATACCCACGGGGATAGCGTGGATTCGGGGGGACCCACGGGGAGACCCAGTTGTGAGGGACCCACGGGGACAGCATGGATGTGGGGGGACCTACAGCAAGACTTGGGTGTAAGTGACCCATGGGGATGCCCAGGTGTGGAGGCACCCACAGACACAGCCTCAGTGTTGGGAACCCATAGATACAGCCTGGACATGGGGGGACCCGCATATGGGGTGACCTTTAGACCAAGGTATGGGGGAACCCATAGACACAGCTCGGGTATGGGGGGGGGCCCAGCGCAGCCTGGCATTGGGGACCAGCACATTCCGGGTTCTGCTGGCACCCCCCGTCACAGCCCAGCTGTGGGGGGACCCACAGACACAGACTGGTTATAGGGGTCCCACCTGTAACCCCAGGTATGGGGGGCGGCCTTAGCCACAGCAGGGATTTGGGGGGCACAAGGCTTTGGAGGGAATGTGGGGGCTCACCCCCTTGACACCCCACTGAGGGGTGCCCCACAAGGAGCCCCCCAAATCCTCACCACCCCTTGAGCCGCCACAGGTGCCCATGAGGGGAGGACAGAGGGGGTCCCCAAAAAGGAGAGTGAGGCGTTTTCCCCCCTTCCTGCTCCCACAGATTTCCCAGCGTGGAAAACATGGAAAAGTGAAAATGAAAATGAGCCGTTTTCTGGGAATTGCTGGGAGTGAGTGGCAGCCCCTTGGCTTGTCCTCCCGCACCCCAAATCTCAAACCCTGCACTGGGTCCCAGCCTCCCACTGCCCCTCCAGGGCCAAATCGGCTTTTTTGGGGGCCAGCCCATCCTGCCTGCATCCCTCCCGTGCCACCATACCCCAAAATCCCCTTTGCACACCCCAGAGGGGGGGTTGGGGATCATGGACGTGGCTTCCCCTCTGTGGTGACAGTCGCTTTGGGGTGCCACCGGATTTGGGTTGCCACCCAGGGTGAGAACAGCCAGATCCCTCTCTGCAAACTGGTTTATTTGGGGGGTCAGGGCGGGGGGGGCTGGTTCCTGCCTTTTGTACAAGCAGGGTGAGACTGGCAGCTGCGTGCAGGCAGGGACCTGATGGCTGGGGATGGGGGCAAAGGGCTGAGCCTGGGGGCCACAGGGGCACCCCAGACCCCGCGAGGGGCTCAGCTGGACCCTGGGGGCTGCGCTGGGGATGTCAGCCACGTCCCGGGGTGCTGCAGGGTTGGGATGGGGGGACGAGGGGGTGTCATGGCTGCCTCCCCACCCCGATGCACAGCCCACCCTAGGGTGGCTGGAGGGACCAGCCGCAGGGCCGGGGGGGTGGGAAGCTGCTGGGTGGGAGCACCGCACTTTTGCCCGTCCCCCTGCCCTTCAGCTCCAGCTTCACCCCAGGGCTGCTCTGCACAGCTGAGAATGACAGGGGCTCTGGCACCAGCCCCCTGGCCATGAGTGGGAGCCCGGAGAAAGCTCTGGGGGGGAAGCTGGGGTGCAGGAGCACTGATGTGGGGAGCTCCACGTGACTGGGGACTCCTGGCTTTGGGGGCAGCAGCAGCGGGGAGTCGCTGGTGGGGGCCAGGAGGTGGCCAGGGAAGGTGGCCCAGGCAGGTGCTGGGTGGCCCAGGGCCAGCAGCGGTGGGGGGAAATCAGCCAGGTGGGAAAGCTCCTCCAGGACCCCCAGATGGCAACAGGAGCCCCCCAGGCATGGAAGGGACACGGAGCCAAGGCCTGCAGGCAGCAAGAGACGGAGAACGCCACGATTGTGACCGGCAGCAGCACCGTATAGCACAGCCGAGCTGGGGTCATGCCAAGGGGTGCGGGCAGCACCCTGGGGTGCTCTGGCAGGTCCCTTCTCCCTTGGTCTCAGCACCCTTCGGGTGGGTGCCCCGTCCTCTCTCCCAGCCACAGCCACTGGGTGCTGCTGTGGGACCAGCAACAGCCATGTCCCTGCCTGCCTGAGCCCCACCGTACCCTGCACCCACAAAAAAACTGGCACCCACTGCTCTCCACCACCCTGCAACCCCATGCCCTGCCTGCAGGCAGCGAGCCCTGCCTGTACCCGATGCATCCCCTGCCCGTGCAGGCAGCAGCGTGCTGGGTGCTGGGCATTTGTCATGCCCACCAGCCTTGCTGGCCTCACACTTACAGGTCCCAGCGGTGGTCGTCCTCTTCTCCAGCATGTCGGGGTGCCGGGGTCCCCAGTGCCAGACCAGTGGCTCTGCCAGCACCCGCCGGCTCAGCAGCATGCTTGGCACCAACTGGGGGGATGAAAGGGGACGTGGCAGTGTGGGGAAAGGGCAGCTTGTCCCCAGGGATGTCCCCCGGCCAGGCCTGGGTCCCCCGGAACCCCTACCTGGCTCAGCATGCTGGGGGGCATGGCGAGGGGGCGGCACAGGCTGCCGGCGCCTGGCAGCAGGGATGGGCAGTGGGCGTCCCACAGCGGGCAGTTGAGGAAGATGAGTTTGCTGAAGTTGAACTTGTAGGTGAAGCGTTTGCCCTTGGTCTTGTGCAGGATGTGCTTGTTGTAGTAGTACCTGGGGGGAAGGCGGGGGTGTTAAACGGGTGGGCAGACAGTCGGACACCCCCGCCAAGGGCTAGAAACTAGGCGAGCCGAGGGGTCCCCCTGGGATGGCAGATGCCACCCCATGGGGTCCCTCAGGGACATCGAGGGCTGTGCCCCCTCCGCCCCATGCCCCCCATCCCCTGTGGCACCTGAGCGCCCGGCTCAGCTTGTCATAGTTCATCTGGGGTTTGCATTTCCTCTGACCCCACAACCGGGCCACCTCCTCGGGGTCCTTGATGACAAACTCCCCATACTCGCCCTGCTGCCAGGCGATGACATGGCGAAACTCTTCCTGCTGCAGCAGCTCCAGGATGAAATGCCATAACTGGATTTGCCGGGAGCCGGGGCTGGACTCCGCTTTGTACGCCCAGTCGGGGAAGGCCAGCCCTGCGGAGTGAGTGGGGCACGCTTAGGGCTTTCGGGGGTACTGGGGGACATCACCCCAAGGTCACTGCTACCCCCCCCCCCAAAGCAGCTGCTTTTTAGCTCCCGGGTGGGGAGATGGTGACAAGATCTGTGCCCCATCCCGGCATGGCTGTGGGTCTGCAGAGAGGGACCAACCCTGGGTGCAGGCAGGGGGGAAAGCAGGGGGGCTGAGGGTGGGCTCTTTACCCTTTCCCTCCCCAAAGCTTCATCCCGCTTGCTGGGTGCTCACCTGATACCCAGGAGGAGTCAGACAGGACAGGCAGCCCTTGGGACAGACAGCCACACTGCATCCTCCAGCCTGCGAGCAGAAAGCAGAGGAGCCCTGTGATGAGCACCTAGCACCTGGGACACACCCTGCATTGGAGGGGATGCACCCATCACTTGGGGGATGCACCCATCACTTGGGGGATGCACCCACCACCGGAGGAGGATGCTGCAGTGGTATGTGACCTCCGCGACGTGGCTGGAGCAGGCCGTGCTGCCACAGCTCACGGCGACGGCTGTGTCCTCACTTGCAGGGGGGGTTCGGCATTGCCAGAAAACCAAAACCTGCTGGCCCTGACTGCTTCCCGTGGGATGTCCCCCCTCCTGCCCCACTCACCTGTGGCCCCGCCGTGGTGGGGTCTTCCCAGGCAGGAGCTGCTGGGCAGGAGAAACCCTCTGAGGGTCTTAGGGAGCATCACCTGGATATATAAAGGGAGGGGATGGGTTAAGTGTAAATCTGCTTACACCCTGGCAGGGAGGAGAGGGAGCGAGAAATGGCTGGGAAAGAGAGGGGGGAGTGGAGGGTCGGGGTGCAGGGGGGAGGTTTGGGGGTCCCTGCTCAGCAGTGGCTGAAAACCCCGATTGCTTTGTGCCCCTTTGGCTGCAGGTGCCTGGTGGTGGATGCCCCCCCCCACCCCCCCCCTTTATCTGCGGGTGATTCCAGATTCAGCAAAAAAAAAAAAAACCAGGAAAAAAAAAAAGAGATGGGAGCAATGGGACTAGGCAATGGCAGCTTTGTCGCCAACCCCCGCTCCCTCCTCTCCCTTGCCCGAGCGGCCGCGGTGCTTCCCTGGCCCTGTGTCCCAGCCATGTAAATACAAATAGGGCAATTTGGAATATTTGGATTGGAGCAGGAAGGCAAACAGGGCTCCGAGAGTAGCAGATCCAAAGGGCAGGAGGCTGCCAACCCCCACCGAGGGCTCAGGCAGCGATGGAAAAGCTTCATGCCCATTTTTTTTCCTCTCTTAATTTGCTTTCCTCTTGTTTGTTCTTCATTTCTCATTAGCTAGGGCCTCGACACCTCTTTCAGGTCTCTGGTGCAGGGTGGGGGTCCAGGGTCCCCGTGAGTCCCACGGGAGCTGTTGAACCCCAGGGGTGTTTTCCTGGGGTGCCCTGTCTCTGGATGAAGGTCCCCCACGGATTGGGGGGAGAGGAGCCAAGTGGGGACCACAGATGTGGAGGCGGGGGGGTGTCCAAATTGGGGTCCCCGGTGCCCTGCTCTGGGGGTGGGCAGGGAGCCAGGGCCCCTGGGTCCCCCCAGGATGGGGGGAGGGGTACAGCGGGGGGGGTACAGGGAAGGGTTTGGGGCTGATCCTGCAAGGCTGGCTGTCAGGGCTGGGATTTGGCTGGGTTCCTGCCCCTTTATCTCTCCCAAATCCCGCTCCAATCTCCTTAGCCGTGCGCCCCCCCCCCCCCGCCCCGAGCCCTACCGGGGCATCGTCCCCTGGGCAGGCAGAGGTGAAGGGCCTGTTTGTTTAAAAGCATTTAATGCTATTAAAACAAGCGGATTAGGGAGCATCGGAACAGCCAGGAGCCGGGGGGGACAACACCCCAGCAGGACTGGGCGGGGGGGGCCAGATCCTGGGGCTCATCCCAGGTATGGGGCAGGGGACAGAGGCTGCCACACAAAGATGGGGAAGGAGCATCACCACAGCCACCCTTGGTGGCACGTCACCTCCTCATTTCCCGGCGCCAGGAGCCCCACTCTGTGCCGCAGGATCCAACCCATACCCCAGCGGGGAACCCCATCCCAGGCTCGGAGTATCTGCCGATGCTTACAGTGTTTTTCCCCTTTCCCTTCCTGGCCCCACTGATTCCCATCCTTTGGTGTCCTGGGACCGTGGGATTTAAAAGGTTTCAAACAGAAACCCTAACCGGGCTGGGGGGGGGAGGATGACAAGGGGATGAAGGTCACATTGGAAAGTCACAGCCCTGGAAACATCCAGGAGAGGGGCAGAGGGGGGGTCCCCGGGGGGGGCCAGGCTGGTCCCCAGGCATGCTGTGTTCCGGGACAGTGGCATCCCCTGTCCCCAGCTTGATCCCCTCCTGTATCCCAGGGCTGGATACAGCCCATCCCAGGACTCAATACAACTGTCCTGGCCTGGATACGGCCATCCCAGGGCTGGATCTGGCGATCCCAGGGCTGGATATGGCCATCCTGGGGCTGGCCATGCTGGGTGCTGGAGGAGATCTGGGCACTGGACCTGGCTCCTGACCGTGGAGCTCTTATGGCCACTGCGAGGAGCATGGCTGGGATTTGGGCTGGGATATCGTCGGCTTCATCCCCCAAGCCCAGCCCTAATCCTCAAAGCCCTTTGGGGTTTTCCCTCGCCACCTAAATCCTCTTTGGAGCCAGCAGCAAAGGTGGGGCTGGCGCAGGGGCACCAACCCGAGCAAATAGGGCAAAACCCCAACCTTAATTTGGTGAAATTGGTGAAAATGGAAAACGAGACTCATTCCCTGCCTGCACTGAATCCTGCCTGCAGTAAGCCCTGCCTGCAGGCAGAGGTGGAGGCACTGAGCAGCCTCGGGAGCGTGAGGCCAACACGGTGACCCCAAGCAGAGCCATGTCCTGCCCCAAACATCTGCAAAAGGACATCCCAGCATGTGGGTGGGAGCTATGGGGGGAAAGCTGAGTGTTGGGGGCATCAGCTGTGCCCCATGCCCACTCTGGTGCCATCGCGGTGGGCATCCAGGAGTGAGGAGGTCTCTGAGGGGTGCTGGGATCCCCGGGCCCCTGCGAGGGAAGGGCTCACGGTGCCTTTTCCAAAGTGTCCATGCCGGATCGTTCGGGGGTTCTCCTACCTCCCGCCGGTGCCTGGCATCCATCTTGCCTGTGCTCTCCTCGCCTCTGGCGCGCCTGGCCCAATGCATTTCACCGTGTTAGGGTCACTTAAAATGAAAACCCAGTCTTGCCATGCTCGCTCCCAGGAGGGCTGCCATGGCTGCACAGACGATTGCATTAACCCCTCACCAGCCATGGGCTGCCGACCGCTGCCATTGCCGCCATCCTCCTCCTCTTCCTCGTGCCCGGTCCCTGCGGGTGATGGGGATGCAGCTGCCTGTGCACTGGTCCCTCCCTATGGGAGACTGGCTGGTGGGGACAGCCAGAAAGGGCACCAAGCACCTTGGCCGGCCCCGCCAGAGAAGCAGGGATCCGGCAGGGATGTTTTGGCCAGGACAGGGTTTCACCAGCCCTGGAGGCCTCCGGAAAACCCTACCAGAACTACGCATGAAGCCAAGGGGAACCAAAAGGGCCAGTAGCCCATCCCTGCCTGCACTGCTCATCCCTGTGATCTGTAGGAGTGGGTGATGCCAGACAGCCACAAAGGTGACGGGACCCTCCCCAGTTTATCTCCTCCAGCAACACAGGGTCATGTCTGAGCCGGGAGGGATTCGGCCATGGGGAAAACTGGGACCCGAAGGGGAAGGCTGGGCGAGGAGGGGCTGGGGGACAGAGCGAGATGCCCCCTCCATCTGCCATGGGCCCCACTCAGCTCAACCATCCCAGGAAGCCAGCAGCAACGGTGGGGAGCAGCATTCCTTCCCATGCACCCGCTCTGCCTGGTGCTGGGGAATTAAATCTGGGACTGTTTGCTGGTTAAATCAAGCGAGGCTAACACAGTGGAAAGCGATACAGGCCAGGGGGGACGGGATGGATGGATGGGGGTGGGAGAGCAAGGGACATGTGAGACAGGCATGGGGGATGGCTGTGGGGATCCCTGGTGGGTGCTCATCCCCTTGGGAATCACAGGGATGCTGCAAAATTGAGGTGGCTGGGTCCAAAGCGCCCAGGCATCAGGGCTGGAGTGAAAATCTCCCATCTCTCTGTGCCGCATCCATCTCCTGACCGCTGTGCAGCTTGGTCGGTGCCAAGAGACCCCATCCCAACCCGGCATCCGTCCCCCTGGGTCGGTTCCCACTGGGATGCAAGCCCACGCCACGGTGGGAAGCATGACCCCCCCGCACCGCCTTGCGTGGCCACGCTCACTGAGATGTGCCCATCGGCACCTCCCTGGCACTCAGGCCAAACTTTGCCCGCTCCCAGCCAGCACAGCTCTGTCGGCAACACTCCTGCCCGCGGCCCGAGCCCAGCCGGAGCCAGCCAGACGCGCCCTGGCAGCGCAGAGGCCGGGTGGAGCCGGTGAACGTTTCTTGCCGATCCAGGAGCTCGCTGTGAATCCCGCAGGGTGTAGCCGGCTCGCGGCTGCCCACCCATTGCGACACCGTCAGCCACGATGGCGTGGTGCCAGGGCCTCAGGCACCGAGCGCTTTGCCTACCAAAGCGCCGGGCGGGTTCCCGCTCCTTTGCTTTCCCTCCTTGTAATTGGGAGGAAGGGCCTGGGCGGCTCGCTATTTGTTCAGACTTGAATGTCTAGAGCGCGCCGGGAGTGAGCGGGATGGGGAGGTAGCAGCGCTGGTGCCAGACTCATGTCCCGATACCCAGAGCACCTCGTGCACAGCTTCCCCCTGCCCGTTGTACCAGTGCAGAGCCAGGGGATGCTCCAGGTCCAGTCCCAGCAGCTCGTTGTAGATAAACCACCGAGACATCCCCATCTCCCCGGGGATGGAGCTGCAAAGCATGAGCTGGGATCAATAAGTCATTTCTCATGGGTTAATCCCCCCCACCCTGCTGAGAGACCTCACAAATTAAAATTATAATAAGATGAGGTCGGGTGGGAAGGGGAAAAAGTGAGAGGTGGGGCGGGGAGCCAAGCCAAGGAACGGCCATGGAGGTTGGTGGCCGAGCTGAGGGGTCAAGGCAGAGTGGAGCGGCCAAACCTGGGGAGCGAGGGGGGGAAATAAAAGAAAAAAGGGGAAAGGGGATGAAAAGGGAAGGAGGAGGGAGGGGACAAGCAGAGGGGGCTCATCTGAGGGTAGGGGACCACTCATCTGAGATGAGGACAAGGGATGGGGTGAGAGGGGGAGATGAAGAGCGAGGAGACATGATGAACGAGAGATGGGGAGAGAGGAGAGAAGGCAGAATCAGCAGAAAATGGTAAAAGAGCAAGCGGAGGAAAGGAAA